TATATTTATATATATATACAGTGGTATGCGAAAGTTTGGGAACCCCTTGCAGAATCTATGAAAATGTGAATCATTTTAACAAAATAAGAGGTTTTCTTTTTCTGTAACAGCTTCAGAGAGGGTCTGAATCCTCAGACCATCTTGAGATTGGGTCCAGATCTTCATGAGCTCTTAGTGGACCTACTGTGCCAGTTCAGTCCTCAGCAGGTCACCGCCTTCCTTAAGACCTCTCAGGACTATCGACTGGAGGAGGCCATTCAGGTATAAATCAATAAACCTCATACATACATATTAACTGTTGGTGAGCTGCCTTGTGGTCTGCTGCCTTCATATATACAGCTACATTCTATGGCATTGAAAGCTCTACAAATGCCCTTCACTTTGAATGTTTCCATCCATCCATGCATTTAAAAAAAAATATTTGATATAATTTGTTGATGCTTTCAGTTACTAAAAAGAGGGCATTACTTTCAGCTCCATGTAACATAGTCCACAGGATTCCACAAAAATCTGAACAATTCTGCAAAATGTGTCTGATCCTACAGATAGTGACTGATTTGAAACGCTCTTCATGGGCAGCACTCTAATAATGACCACACACATGCCTCACACATAATCAGCAATCCTCGTGTGAAGTGCTTTAGAGACTTGACTAAGGCTCACAGTTGATTACCAGAGTTTTGATATTAACTTGTGGATGAGCTAAACACTTGGTACAAAAACAATACTTATATTGATTTAAAATAGGTGGGTTTTAATTATTTTGAGCTGTTGCATTAATACTTTTCAGTACTGAAAACATAAATATAAATTAAATATAAATATCAAATAAATTCAAATGTACATTTTCCTCGTTTGCATCTACCACCTTGGTTGATTTGGATAGGTCATTGCAAAATTTGCTTTCTTAGAAGTAGGATTTTTTTTTTGCCTACTTTACAGAACAGCCTTCCCATTAGGTATGTGTGAGTAATACTGCCTTGATGGACAACTTAAGGGGTTTGTACACTAGATGAGAAATGCTGTGCCACACCACGCCATGTCTTTGAAAATCTTTTTCAAATATTTGAAAAACCTGTGTACGCACACTGTCGCCACCACTCGCTGTATGTTGGCCGCCCCAAGCTGCTCGAAATCCTGCCGCACCACACATTGCAGCTTGCATAGTTTCATTGCGTTATATTTGTCCCAAATCGACGTTAATGTATAAACTGAGTTTAGGCTGAAAGATTGTGTACCTGACATTTTTCAATAAATTTGTATTTGTGTGGCTTGAATAAAGTCTATGCTTAATATGTAGAAAGAACTCAATATAGATTGGCCTTTATCTTTCGGTTTGTACTATTTGTTACACCAAAGTTACACTCATTGACACAACTTTGATTTGCAGACAGATAGTTTGTGAATAAGGAGCTATAATGAGCCATTATAGCAAAACAAAACCAGTCATAAGGGTAAATTTTTATTAAAAAATCATAATATTGAGAAAATCACCTTTAAAGTTGTCCAAATTAAGTTCTTAGCAAAGCATATTACAAATCAAAAATTACGTTTTAATATATTTACAGTAGGAAATTTACAAATTATCTTCATGGAACATGATCTTTACTTAATATCCTAATGATTTTTGGCTTAAAAGAAAAATCAATAATTTTGACCCATACAATGTATTTTTGGATATTGCTACAAATATACCCCAGCGACTTACGACTGGTTTTGTGCTCCAGGGTCAGAAATTGCATTGCAGACTGTTAATAAATAAGACTGCACTTATAAAATTGTACTGAAATACAGATGATTACTGAATTCACTCCTCAAACTACAGGTTTGGCAGGTTGACGATTAGGAGGCCACACACTATCTAATCAGTTAACATGAATCCACTGATAGAGCGAGTAAATCTGGCAATCTGATGTAATTAGAGTGTCGGTCGACAGGCTCAGGCAGAAAGATGCCTGGAGGAACGAACGAATGAATGAATAATGGAGGGAGGGGAGATATCTGCTGTGCTGAAGCGCTGAAACAGACAGACAGGCAGAAGAGAGAATCAATAATGTTACAGAGGAAGAGTGGCACCTGCTAAATATTTGAACAGACACCTTGCACACACGCATGCATATACAGAAGCTCCAAAGTCCTGCCATCTTGCCTTATTCTAGTTTCACTGCTCTTTGTATATGTCTCCATATTTAAACCCATCTCCTTGCTGCTGTGTTTCTGTCAGTCTGTATTGTCTTTTTTTCCTCTGTGCTCGCTCTCAGCTGCCCTGTTTTTGTATTCATGGATGCCGGTTCGTGTTTCTCTGCCTTCCGCATAACCGTCTTTTTACTTTAGTTTCAGAATGTGTTTGAATGTTTCATTATGGAAATGGTTTCTCACAAACAAACAATCTCACCTCTCAGTCTGAGTCTGAGTGTTCCTCCAGTGGGCGGCTTGGAGTGGATCATTTGTCTTGATAATCTTGACAATTTGACTGCAACACAATTGATGGGCTTATCTCTGTCTTGTCTAATCACAGATCACAGAGAAACACAAGCTGCATGAGGCCGCGGCCTATTTGCTGGAGAAGAAGGGAAATGTGCAGGGAGCTTTTGAAGTGCTGCTACAGGTTTGAGTTCATCACACCACACAAGCGTGCAGTAGACTCGTGCAGAAAACTGGGCAAGAGGATCCATGCTAGCTTGAAATGCTTATTGACTACTTTAAATGACATTTGCTCCATTATGACTGAAATACAATAACAAATACCATACAAATAAATACAGTTGTTAATTTTTGACAGCTTTTTTACATTTCATAATAGAGCAAATGCAAGTAATCATTTAGAGCTAACCTGGCACAGGCAGTCAAACAAATACAAAGTAATAAAATAAAGCATATTTTGTTATCTGTTGGAACTTCGAAGGGCATTTTGAGCAACTGCTTACCCACCACCATCACCTACATTCAGCATCTGGCTCATATTGGGGATTGTAAGCATTTTGATACGTTACATCTTCAGAATCAGTCATTTGTTCAGCAAAAGCTTTGTCATCAGATCCATCATTAAATTACACTATTTCATTATGAACTTGCTCTGCAGTGAATTGCTGAGCCATGTCAAGATTTGCTGATGATACTTGAGAGTTCTCTTTTTATGCCTGCTTTAATTTTTATGAGTGACACATCATTGTTTATCAGACATCACTACCTTGAGATTCATCATTGTTGCAAAAAAATAAAAAATACACACACTATTACATACATTGGATCTCTAGCAACCTTATAAACTTAAAAAATTGCTAGAATTTTTTTTTGTTTTTACAATTTTGTATTTTTTCTGGTCATATTGTGAATAATAGATTAAGGAATACTAAGAAGGTGGAGGTGTAACTTATCAGTGAAGAAATCAATGATGGAGAGGGTAGTAGATGATGTTCCAAAGTATGGGTTATAAAAGGCTATAAAATCTTGGGCTTTTTGATGAGACACCACAGGTGATGCGAGTAGGAACAAACTTATCCTTTGCTGTGACTCTAAACACTTGAGTCCCCTAAGTTTGTAAGCTTATTCCCACTTCTCTTGCCTACATTAATCCATGAGCGTTTCACCAGATATGACTGCAATGCTATTACGTTAAACTGGTCTGATCCTACATGGAGAGGTTGCTTAATAGAAGTTGAAGATGAAACCCAGACAGTATGGTGATAGGACTGTGACCTCTATCTTGGCAGTGCAGCTCTCTCTGGACCAGTACAACCAAGGATGTGATTGTAGGTTATAGGGAACTTCAGATTGGTGACCAGACATAGATGGAAACTTGAGTCGAGAGGGTCAGCAGTTTCTGAGAATAACCATCATAGAGAAGTTACAGTGTTGTGGTCAGAATAGCATGTCAGCAGATTTTCTGCACACATTAGAGAAGTTTGGCATGCCATCACATCCTGGTCAGCTTCTGTAAGTGCACTATTGTATGTGTCCTGACTAGGCTTATCAGAGCCTGGTGTGGAAACTGCACTGCCCTGAAGTACAAAGTGCTAGAGAGAGAGGTACAGTCAGCGGATCTTATTACTGGCACTTAAACATCAAGGACAGGATGTTTACAAATAGATGCTTAATGAAGACCAGGACTATTCTCGCTTTATATCACTAAAACAGAATTTCACTGCTACTCTCTGGTAAATTATATCAGAGCATGTACTTAAAAACCACCCAAAATACTTTGTAACTGATTTTACCCTCATGTTGTCACTATTTATGGAGAATCACCATATTGCATGACTGCTTTTGAACACAGCGTGTATGTTCATGCATACTCTGCTAGGAGTGCTCTCGCTTTCGTAGTAACATCATTGCAATATAGAACAATCAAATCCACTTCATGTTCAAAATGGCCATCTTGGTGAAGAAATTAAGTAAACAGTTTGTATTAAGTAAATGTAAAAGACAGGACAAAAAAAATCAACATGTCCAAATATGAGATCTGTGCATTCATTATATTGTAAATGCAGCCTAATTGGCTGTACAGTACATGTCATTAAATTAATCCAGAAATAATAATTTTGAAGAATCAGAAGCAGTGTTGAAGGCTGTGGTTTGGAAATGCAGGCATTTTGATCGTTTCACATTATTGTGTCATTTCATCTAAGTTATATATGCAGCACATCTCATTATAGGCAATAAAAAATATTGTCAACAAATATTTTTGTTGTCGAGTAGTCGTTTGATCTCATATGACCTAATGCAGTTTCCCAACCAGGGTGCAGTGTAAAAAATACTTTTAAAATATTTTTAAATTGCTAAAATACATCATTCATAACTGTACTTTTATTTGTGTGCACTCACAATATCAATAAAACTTTAATTATAAAATAAAGAAAACAAACATGATACGCTTTCTGCCATCTCGTCTTGAACAGGAGCGCTTCACAAAAATGAACCGAAACTCAGCGAATACATGCCTCACAGACATGATAAATATATATATAGAAAACTTTAAATTACTACTTTACAAAACAAAACAAAAACTCTTTCATTATAATCATAATTATAATCCGTAAAAAGGAAACTTATCTCTAAAGACGCATCTAATGAGGAGATGGCGAGTCAGGATCGGCAACTTCATCCTTGCGACACCGACTCAGCAAACACTAGTTTATTAGTAAATAATTCAAATATCTCCTTACTATTTTCCCCTGACATTCATGGTAATTACTTTTGCCGGTGCTTTGCGGCAAGCTTAAGCCTATTGCATGCATTTAAATGCAGAACTCTTCAGCTGCGCTGACGGCACGCTGCATGCTGCTGCGGGACACTAAACACCATCGTCGCTCTTGATAGTTGCGTTAGCACAATCTCGTGTTGTTTCCACTAGCGCAGCAATTATTTTCATCACTAATTCATGGATGTCTAAAATATAAGAATAAAGAAGCCTAAAACAGGCCCAAGGCCCGGCCCGCATCTGACGTGAAAATTGGCCCTAAGCCCGGCCCAAGGGCCGTAAAAAAGTCGGGGCCCGTTGGGCAAAGTCCACTCAAAAATCGAGCTGACAGGAAACATCTATGTAGTACAGTATTGTTTCTGTCTGCAATAGCCCTACTGTGTTGTAACATGGTGTGGTATATGGGCAACTCTGGTAACACTGCCCTCTCATTCATTGATCTGCTAACCGCTATGTTATGCTCACGTGTTCTGATAGTAATAGCCTTCTTGGACTAAACATTATTTGGATAATTGGTTAAAAAAAAAAAATTGTGCTATCATACTTTTTGTTCGTATTTTATTACTGACTGCTTACTTGTCATTTTTTATTCAATTCAAAGTTTGAAATCAAGCTATCTCATGCTACTGCAGCAAAATTACCCCAAAATGTAAAATACAGTGAGTGAGCAAAAATTTGTGAGATTTTAAAACGCATCTGATTACAGCAATGTGGATGTTTGCACAAGCTCTGCAGTTCGGTACTCCAGTAAAGTCCAGTCACGTCACTTCACGGTTTATTTATTTAGTACTTTATGCAATAGCCTTAAATCAAGCAGCTTTACACTATTAAACATGAAAAACCAGAGTCAGTGTTGCTTTCAGTTAGAATTATAACTTGATTTTCTATTATAAAGCAGCTCTCCAGTGTGGAGCTAGCTAATGATAAAATCTTTTTATTAGTAGGGGAAAAAACGTTTAATTAAAGTGATAGTTTGGTTTGCAGAGATCAAAGCTTGATCTAGCTCAGGACTGTTTTGATTATCAAAAACCTATAAGGTATTTTAAGAGAGATTGTTGTGAATAAAATAGTTTATCCAAAAATAAAATATCTTATCACTTAACCTTTATTTTGTTTCTTATCCATATGACTTACAATAAGAGATTTTAGGCAGAATGATGTGTCATTCAGCTACTTTCTCATATAGCTAATTAAATGGTGAATAAGAGTTTCTCTGCCATCTCATTTTGTGTGCCAAAAGATTTATTTGTATTAATTTGTATTAATTGTGTAATTGTAAGTAAATAATATGACTTTCAAAAGCTGAAGTGATTACCTTAATTTATTTGTTAGAATATGTATAACTCAATATTTTAACTAATTGCAAAAGATGAGTAATCAAAAAATGTCTACTGATTAATCAGCAAAATAATCAACGATTAGTCGATTTATCGTTCTAATAATCGTTAGATTAATTGATTATCAAAATAATCATTTGTTGCAGCCCTACAACTCACACAGAAGTCCCTTTCATACCGTGCAGCTTTCGTTTAGTCTATGCGGTGAATCTGTGTGAACAACTTGAACTCGTTGTGAAATCTTTCGCCCTCACGCGAAATTAAGATCGTGCTACACTCAAAATATTAATTTATTACCCTTACTTAATTTAAGAAAGTTTTTACACACAATTACATTTTAATTCATTCAGAATAAATCTGTTTAGTTGGGTCAACACAATTTAGTCAGCTTAGGTCAATATAATCTAGTATGTTCAATTTAACTTTACATTTGTCAACTACATTTTCTTATGTGGGACTAAATTTTTAAATTTTTTTATTTACTGAGGTTTAATTTTCTTGTGTTTAAACAAGCAGTTGTGTTCATCATTATACACAATGTAATGAACAAAAAAGAAAAGACTCCAACATGTCTTTCCGTTTACTGAATATTACTGTAAAACAACCACTTAATCTCTAAATTTCTCTCCTAATGCAGTCCCTTGCAAAGCATGCATCGAGTGCATTGACATGACTGGATTTGACAATGATTAATGTTTAAAAATTATTAATGATTAAAAACTCTGGAATTCTACAGAATGGCTTTCCCCATGTTCAGACATGTTACATTGAAATGGGAGCACTGCAGTCTTTTTGGTAGCTGAAAGAATGATCAAATGAGACAAAAAAAAAATCATAAACACACATTGAACTTTTTAAATGAGAACATTCTGACTCAGAGGAAAGATGAGGATTTTGTGGGCCGCCAGCCTTTTTATTATTATATTTCTAAAAAGGCTCTCAATTTAACATGGTGATTTTGTTCAGTAATTATAAAAAAAGCAATCATATGCCATATATTCCATAATGAACAAACTGACGATTCAAACGCGAGTTTTGAGCTGTGTAGAGTAGCGTTTGTAGTTTGCCATTTCTCCCATCACAAATGCAGACATGGTTTTATGTTTACGCGACGTGATGCAATGCAACGTGTAAAAAGACAGTATAAGTTATTATAATCCTTAATTATGTCCCCACTGGATGCAACAAATGCCTCGTTTATAATGGGTTTTATTGGTTTTGTCTCGTCGCTCCGGCCGGACTGGGCATCACAGTATGGTAAGGGGCGTAACATTTCCGTCACACGCTTGAGGTATTCGGCCAATCACAACACACTGGATAGCTGGCCAATCATAGCACACCTCGCTTTTCAGACCGATGAGCTTTGTAAAAATGACGCTTTTCAGAAAGGCGGAGCATAGAGGAGAAACAATAATGTACAGTATGTGGAAAATAATGTGTTTTTTTAACCTTAAACCGCATAAACACATTTCATTACTCCAAATACACAAAATAATGTTCTTTTTAGCAATATCATATGACCCCTTTAAAGGGGAGGTCTATTTCATGCATTCTGACTTACAGTATATGCACTGTTAGAAGAGTTGGATTCTGCTGCGCAGGACTTGCTCGAGAAGCATTTGTCATTAGACCATGAAATCAACAATGTCACCAAAAAAGTGTGTTTTTGGTTGTGAGGGAAAGATAACCATGTTCAGCTTCCCAAAGAACCCAGCGTTAAAGGAACAGTGGATGCAGTTTGTTTCTCCGGGGCAGCAGCGGAGTTGTGCTAGTGTGCTTGCTTGTTTGTTCCTGTCATTTCGGTGAAAAGTATATATTTTAAATTAATAAAATGTAAGTATTTGTTCCTGTTTTATTTATATCAATGTCACAGCTTGCAGACAATCGCTACGCAAAAGCTGCGTGTACTTGTGACTCTTTAGCTCCACCCACGGCTCGACTGTTTTCGGAGAGAAGCGCTATACAACTGTATCTGTCTTTTATAAATCTGATAAAACTAAAGACTCTTCAGAAATCCATTCTGTATTTCAGTTGGCATTTTGTTCATAATTGCTTACACCATATGTATGGTTATTTCTCATTTTCAAGGTTTGCTGTATATATTGTGCATTAATGAGTGATAACAATGACATTTTTTAAAAATAAAATAAAAATATAGAAACTAATAGAAAACTTATATTATTTTTCAAACATGAATGCATAACTTGTAATAATGATGACCCAACTTGGAAGTAGGAGTTTTCCAGGTGCACTTGAAGGGAGAATAAGCTAGTGATTGTTCTGTTGTTAACCATTTCATTTTTCTCCAACAATAACTTCTTATTTCTAGTACAGTACAGTAAGAACAATAGATTTTCAGTAGTTTTAGCTTTTTAATGAAGTTTGATTTTAAATACATTAACCCTAACCCTCATAGAAAATACAAAATTGGCAATAGTTGCAGTGGGTATAGAAAAGAATCACCCCCCTTTAAAATAATCAAATTTTTTGTTTTATCCAGCTGTATTTACTCAGTGCAACTTAAAACATCCAATATATAACACCAACATGTGCAACTGAAGCAAACAATCAACTATGGGTAGCAAAGCACTGTCAGAAGATCTTTGGGATAAAGTTCTGGGGCCGGTTGCACCAGCTAGACGTAAAAACGCTGGGTGTAAGCCCTACGTCCTGCTTTACGATAAATATTTACACCTGTTGCACCAACTGAAATTACGATCAGGCGCAACTATGCCCGGCGTAGACAATGCGCGTCCATGCCGACACATTCTCCCTCAGTTATAAATATAGCTGAGACGACGTTCACGCCGCAGTGGCTACAACTACTAATATAGAACTGAATTGCTCAAGACATAATATAAGTGAAATCACCACGCTATGATTTCATTGAGTAAACATTTCCTAACAAGTCCGCGTTTTTATATCTGAAGTCTCCCTGCACACTCCCATGACAGATTTCATCAAGGTTAAGTAAAATATAATAAATGTAATACAATGCTTCTCTCTAGAGTTATTTTTTTTTATAGCTGACTATCAAGTTTATGCACAATGAATGTCTTTCCTGAGGTAATTGTGACTTTACATGACATTTTGTGTTTTGCTGTCTTTCTGTGACTGAAAAAACACGTTTATGGTTTGTATTTTGTGATAAAATTCACAGAATTTGAAAGCTGATCATTTATTTCTGATTAAAAGTAACAAAGCACAAAACTTATTGCGATTATTGGATGGCAGGCACGCTACAAATAATGAATTGAATTAAAGATGTGAAATATTTTCAAGCACACTGTCCTTCCAAGCAAGATGTCAAATGGTTCAGTTTCTTTTAATAATCCCAGTTCATATGTAATATTTTACTGCATAATTATTACATGCTTGACAGAAATATATTTTGTATTCAATGTCTACAGTGTGGTAGGATAGTCTACACAGAGCTTCGCGATTGATATCGCTTATCCTGCCCGAAAAGACCATAAACATTACTGGTCACATCTGCAGTAATAATTAACTAACAGACATGTTCCGAGCAAATCATGACTTTTCACTTTACACCTAACTCTGACTAGGCGTAAGATTTAGTGTCAGACGTAGCACTACGCCGAGATGGTGCAACGGGTATAAATTCTACGACTTAAAACGCATTTTACGTCCAGCCTAGTCTTACAACCGGGTGTATGTCCAGCTGGTGCAACCGGCCCCTGGACAGGAACAAGACAGGAGATGGATAAAAAAAATTTCAAAGGCTTTATCAATACCGAGAAGCCCAGTGAAGTCTATTATTAAGAGGTGGAAGGTATTTGGTACAACACAGACCCTCCCTGGATCAGGACGTCACTCCAAACTGGATGAAAGAGCAGGAGGAAACTGGTCAGAGAGGCTTCCAAGAGGCCTACAGCAACTCTGAAGCAGCTGCAGGAATTTATGACGAAGAGTGGTCATTGTGTGCATGTGACAACAATATCACAAATTCTCCACAAATGTGGCTTGTGTGGAAAAAAGCCACTCCTCAAGAAAGGCCACATGCAGTCACAACTGAGCTTTGCCAAAACGCACCTTGAAGTTTCTGTGGTCAGATGAGACTAAAATTTAATTATTTGGCCTCAACACCAAATTATATGTCTGGCGGAAATCCAATACAACTCCCCATACAACTCCCAAAATACTGTCTAATTCTTGAGGAAAATCTGCTGCCCTCTGCCAGAAAGTTGTCGATGGGATCATATCCCAACAGACTAAAGGCTATAATTAAAGCAAAAGGTGATTCAACAAAATACTGACACAAGGGGGTGATCATTTTTCCAACTTCTGTTTTTATTTAGTTTTTTTTCCTGACATGTTGGTGTTATATCTTTCACTTGGATGTTATAAGTTGCACTGAGTAAATACAGCTGGATAAAGAAAAAACTCTGTCTTCATTTCAGGCTGCAAAGCAACAAAATGTGATTATTTTCTATACCCACTTTAAGTGCTTTAAAGCTTCCTTTTTAAAAAATGAAAATAATTTAAACTGATAAAAATGTTAATTAAAAAAAAAAATCTTACAGACATTAGAGAACCACTGGTGTATAATGAATTTAGCTGAGGGCCCAGTCAGTCCTGATTGTTTCTCTCTTTCCTCAGCATTAAAAGAGCTCACTATGAAAGTCTTAAACAGCATGTCCAGTTTTATCGCCCCACCTGCCATCATTCAGCGCATCCTACAGGTAAGTAGATGCTTTTGTTGTTTTTAACTGCTAATACAATTTTTGTCTTAAAACTAGGCTGCTATTATTCCTGCCTGTTACTAAATGGCAGTCATTGTGTGCACGTGAGAGGTCGCTCAGTGTGTGATTGTGGTATGTGTGAGATTATTGTTCTGTGGGATTTATGGGATTTGTTTGGAAAGAATTAGAGCCCTCTGACTTGACAATAGGGTAACAGGCTAAAGCTCAAAATCCCATGGTTCTTATTTGTGCAAAACTGTTGACACACACACACATAGACATTTACACAGATTCTGTATTCAACTGGTCCGGATATGTCAACAAATCTGCTGTCTTGAAACTTTGAAACATTTCAGGGTTATGGTTTCTAAAATGTAGTTTGTGCAGTTGCTATGGGACATAAAATCCGCTGTACTGTAATTGCAATCCACATTTTATAATATTCTGTTTCATTTAGAATTTTATTTAATAGTGTGTATATATATATATATATATATATATATATATGTGTGTGTATATATATATTGACATTTATGTTCAACCAAATTTTGTGTACATTTCAAAGGTACTGTAACTGCCTGTTCAGACTCAGACCTTTTCAGTATGGCAGGACATGCTAAATGCATCATGGGAAATATAAATGGTTGCTTACGATGCCGTCTACAGATGCAGCTTTTTAAAAGTGAATTATTGTCCCATGATTTTACACAATCCACTGTTTGTTCTCCTATTTGGACTGATGGACGGCATATTTGCTTTTCAGTGGCTCTTCCAGCTCAGAGTCTTGTGTAGTGGATTCAAACACACACGCACACTGCACACATTTTTGCTTTCCATGAGGTCGATGCCATAGCTCATGAATCGGTTAAGGCTTTGGGCAGTGGAAGGCCTTTATCTGTTTTCATCTGCACATATTTAGTGCTGTCAGCTTTCCCCCATCGATCTTCTAGTCTGCCCCTCCTTATCAATGCTATTACACCAGCACTCTGCTATTCTGCTTCAACCTGCTGTCATTAGATCCTCTGAGATTTCTTTTGAATCAGTGATTGTGAATTTTTTTTTTTAGTGGTTTGCAAAGATACACTACAGTTCAACATTTTTGGTAACACTATAACAAAGCACTTACTTGTAAACTATTAGTTTATAGTAAATTTTTCTCATGAATAGTTTAGTAATTGTGTTGTTAATATAGTAAAAATAGTGAGATCCCTATTGATAATTCACTTGTACTGCGTCTGCTAAGACGCAATGGGGAAAACTAATTTTTCTCAGAATACTGAAGCCTTTTCAATAACGCAGTGTAACTGCACAGCCATTGGTTCGTGCAGTGAATTAAAAACGAACCAATTGCTCGGCAACGAATAGACAGGGCATCTGGCTATATAAGCGGGGCATTTCGCCATAGGATCCTCAGATTTCTTCTCCTTCAGCAACAACTGCAAGATCTTTGCTCTACGAAACACGAAGCCTTTGCCATGAACAAACCTTCCAACGGATCAAGACCCCTTCCTGCTTCGCCGCTCTTCAGCTGCCTTCAGCTTCTGCAGTAGCTGCGGTCTTCCCGGTCCCCTGCCGCTATCCGGCGATTTCTGTAAGAGCAAATTTCTTGTGTTGTTTCAAATGCCGCACCGTTACTGTCACTCGTGCAGGGCTCCCCATGCTGAAGCTGCACTCACTGAGATGGAATGTCTTCATTGCAAGGATATAAGTCTTGCCTCTCTGCGCTCGTGGATAGCTTTCTTTTCAGAAAGTGACTTCGCCCCTCGCGCCCGCCCGCTTTCTTCCTCCCAGGAGCCTGTGAGGAAAAAGCAGCGGGCCAGAGGATCTCGGCTCTCGGTGACGAGTGAGCCTATGCCGGCTGAGCCCCCACGTGCCTCACTCTCTCCACATAGAGAGGCTTCCCCCGTCCTCTCACCCGGACCAGCGTCCCTCTGCGGCTGCAAGCAATCTGGTCTCGTTCAGTGGGAGCGAGTGTGACGCCATGGATGACAGCGTGTCTCTGGCTGCTTCAGATGTGGAGGAGCTGTCGGGGCTCGTCTTTCAACCCTGCCCCCCTACGGTCTGCAGAGCCCAGCGCAGCCAGCACGGGCATGGACGCCGAACTGTTCCGCGTCCTGTCTAAAGCTGTGCAAGAGCCGGGTTTAGATTAGTCTCCACTGGAGGAGCCCACCCGCAGCCGCCTGGATGAGTGGTTCTTGCTGGGGCACCGTCAGGCCATTCAACAACGAGCTTCACCCAGAGGTCCACGATGAGATCACCAGATCTTGGCGTGCCCCTTACTTGGCTCGCCTACGTGCCTCCTCTTCGTCCGCCCTCACGTTGGTCAAGGCCGCCGAAGAAAAGACAGACAGACTTCCCCTGGATGAGTCAGTGGCCGCGCATCTCTGCCCACCCATGGCCATCGGCGGGAAGGTAAAGGCCGCCCACCCGTCCAAGCCATGTAGGATGACTATAGCGCTCGCTGGACAAGACTACTTGTCAGCTGGACAAGTGGCCTCGGCGCTTCACTCCATGGTGGTCCTACAGGTCTTTAAGGCCAAACTGCTCCAGAGCATGGACGAGTCTGGCCCGGACCCTGCAGCTTTCAAGGAACTTCGCAGCGCAACCGACTTGGCTTTGCGCGCCACTAAGATGGCAGCTCAGGTGATCGGTAGATCCATTGCCGGCCTTGTGGTGCTCGAGCACCACATATGGTTGACCCTCACGGAGATCAAGGATGCGAATAATTTCCCCTTCCTCGACTCCCCCTCTGGCCTGTTTGAACCTGCGGTTGAAGGGTACACTGAGCACTTCACCGCTGTGCAGAAGTCGTCCCAGGCAATGTGACACTTCTTGCCAAAGCGCTCCAGTTCTACAGCTGCTGCCAGTCGCCCCAAGACTGTGCCGACTCAGCAGCCTGTGAAGCCCGCACCGCCGGCTGTACCTCCAGCCTCTAAGCCTGAACCCCGACATCGCTCCCGCTCTGCCAGATGCTATCCATTCCTCAAACGCCAGGGACACTTCCGTGTGCCGACAGCATTGTGTTTGTGGTAAATAACATTGTGAACTCTGGGCCTGTTCAGATAGCACCCACACAACCGACCGCTGTTATAGTGAGAAAAATAAAACGCAAACATTTTCAAAAAGAGAGCAAATTTCCCCTTCCGCTTATAATGAACGTTGGGTCCCCGCAAGGCGGACCGTCGCTCGAACCAACCCAATCCCTTGCCACGAGGCCTGGCAGGCCATCCCCGGAGTGTCAGACTGGGTTTTGGGGATAATAAAACGAGGTTATTCACTTCAATTCACTTGAAGACCCCTGCGTTTCAGAATTTGTTGGCAAAAGGAGCCATAGAAATGGTTCCCCCAGCCTGGAGCGAGTCAGGCTTCTACAGCTGATACTTCCTTGTCCCCAAAAAGGATGGCGGCCTAAGGCCCATCCTCGATCTCAGGCACCTGAACCACGCCCTCATAAGATGGCCGTTCAGGATGATTACATTGAAACAGATCCTCTCGCAAGTGTGCCCAAGGGACTGGTTCTTTTCGCTGGATCTGAAAGATGCCTACTTTCACATCCAGATAGCCACCCACCACAGACGATTCTTGAAATTTGCCTTCGAGGGAGTGGCATATCAATACATGGTCCTTCCCTTTGGACTGTCCCTAGCTCCTCACACTTTTACGAAGTGCATGGATGCGGCTCTTTCCCCGCTGAGACAGATGGGAATCCACATTCTGAATTACCTCGACAACTGGCTCATCCTGGCCCAGTCGGAGGACAAGCTAGTATCTCACAGATCCTTCCTCCTCAGCCACTTAGAATGCCTGGGACTCAGGATCAATTTTGCCAAGAAGCGCGCTGTCCCCCAGCCAACGGATATCGTTCCTGGGAACAGTTCTCAACTCAGCCCAAATGAGGGTGGTAGTCGCGCCAGAACGTGCACTGGCCATTCAGCATCTTGCGGCCTCATTCAAAGTTGTAGCTTCTCGCCCTCTCAAGGCATTTCAGAAGATGCTGGGCCTCATGGCCTCTGCACCTCTGGTACTTCAGCTAGGCCTGCTTCGCATACGACCCCTTCAGTACTGGCTGAAAACATGAGTTCCATCTCACACCTGGCGTCTTGGACGCCTTCGTGTCAAGGTGGACCAGGCCTGCGTAGCAGCTCTGGCCCCTTGGAAAGACTCTCAGTGGATGGAACGGGGCGTGCCCCTGGGATTGGTCTGCAGAAGGAAGGTGGTCTCGACAGGTGCTTCCAACACAGGTTGGGGAGCACTGTGCGATGGCGGAGGGTCGGCTTCACATCAACTGCCTAGAAATGCTGGCAGTATGTTTGGGCCTTCTCACCTTTCTGCCAGACCTAAGGGGACACCACATGTTAGTCCGCTCGGACAGCATGACAGTGGTGTCCTATATAAATCGCCAGGGCGGTCTCTCCTTGAAGCACCTCTTCATTCTGGTAGAGCACCTTTTGGAATGGGCAGCGCATGTGCCGGGCAGGTTGAACCAAGGAGCAGACATGCTATCATGGAGCAGTGTTTCCCACAGGTTTGAAATATACTTGTGGTGGTAGCTGGGTGGAAAATCCTCCTATTACCCACGCCACAAATATGGTCTACTACATGTAACAAATAACAAATAATGTGTGATTTTTAACAAGATGTTTCATTTAGGCCTATTGAAATTAATTTTAATTATATAGGCTACTATTACATTTAATTACATACTCATATTATGCATTATTATGCATTGTATGCATATGCAAATGTTCTTTGACTTTTCTTCATGTGGGGAAACATCCCAGCCAGAAACTACAATAGTTTCCTATGAATTAAATGTATTTTAAATTAAATACAATTTATTGTGTTAAAAAAATGTCTATACTATAGCATGCTGTTCCTTCAAATGGTGATAAAATATACATTAAAATATGCTTACAACCATCTAAAATATATTATATAAAGGTCATAACGTAGACAGTGTCATGATTCATCAACTGAATAAAGGTGCGCTATTCATTGAT